ACTGTCCATGGAGGGTAGTTTAAAGTGATAGCAGACGTAGTTAGCGCCAACCGCACTATTCACTTTCGCCATGCGTCAAGGAGATCAGATTGCATTCGGCAGTGGCAGCTTTCTTAAATGCAAGCCAGAAACACCGCCTTACTTAGTTTTAAGTGACAGTAGACTTTGCGCGTGTACTACTGCACTATCTACCCTCACTCACATTCAGTAGATGTTAAGACAGGCTCAAGGAGGCCGAGACTGATATGGCTACTGCTATTACTACTACTAATAACTAGCAATGTAGCTGAATGGTAGCACTAGTGGTACTATTTCTGACGGTAGCATTAGCCAGAGGTGACGTGCATTAAAATCACACTAGGGCTCATACACCCTTGATCTCAACAAAAATTGTGAATCTGTTTTGAAACAATTCAGAGTAAATATATGTTTGAGACACTGAGCACATCAGGGCTTGCCTGGTTTCCGCCCTCTCAACTCTCTCCACCAGGCTGTGTCACCTTGTTGGCCAACGAAACGTTATTGAGTAGTAGTTCAAGCTCTACCATGCTTTTATGTCGCATGGTGAAAACACAATTCCGATCATCTGGGTCCTTCATTCTTCGCCTTTCAACATAGAACCAGGGCAGTAGATCGTAGTAGCAAGCATTATACCTATGAACTTAACTCACTGCGATAACTCCACCCCCATGCACATCAGCGCACTTCTCATTAGTAATAAATCTGACGGGTTTGAATCGAGCGCTGTCAGTTGTGGCTCAAATGGTTGCCATCTTACGGTGTAGCTGTTTAAGGCTGTAATAAGGCCTCGTTAACGTTGTTGTCAGGATACTCCTATAAATGTAGACTACCCCGACTTTATGAGTGATGCTCAGGGAGTGTAGAGTAGGGGCTAGGTCGCTTGCGTCCAATGAAGGCTTCCGTTTACTGTTATCAACCAGGGCGCCACGTTCACCTCAGGTCATCTTGACTGTGCGGTGTAATCGGAGAATTATGGGTGTGGAGAGGGAGTGGGGTAGGTGCCTCGAAAGTGGTTTCCCTATAACTAAATCCACGCGAAAGTCACGGTTAAGCCAGTTTCGCAGTGCGTATATACATATTGGAAGTTGGTGAGCTTCAGACAATCAAGAAAATCTATCACTTGTTCAGCAACTTGATTTATAAAATTGGTATGATTGCATTCGAAAAATTATTCTGTTGATGGAGTTGCAAACAGTAACAACAAAGTAGTGTTTTGCTTCTACTGGTCTTGGGTTCACAGAGCAGAAGTAAAACAGTGACACTAAAAAGCATTAAAATAGACAAGAAGGACGTCCACATACTGTGGCCACTAAAACCACTCCATCACTCACTCTAATTGGGGAAGTCCATACGATAATTGACGAATTACATTCTCGCTATGTTAGGATGTCCATTTAGTAGGTCCCACAGCAACCAATATGCACGACGAACAACTAATGTCCAGGACAATGGATTATGATTATCTTCTGCTTTGCTCACATACCCATACATCTAGTAACCATGCCTTTATTTGAAAAGACGACAACAAATAACCTAGGAATGACTATATAGGCTTTCCTTGTTGTTGTTGATCAAAGTTTTGCGTCACATAGGGCTTTTGTAATGCGATCCCCTCTAAGGCTCAGGATTACGCGTCCGACAGAAAATAAATGTTCATTTTTCATCCCGTAATTAAGCTAGTCTAATGTACGTTTCTGCCATGCGAAAGCTTCCTCTACTTTCACTAGTTGCATAGTGACTAAGAAATTAACAGGACTTTTCTTGGCTAAAAGTTGCGCCCGTGTGAAATGGTCGAAGTTAGAAAAAGATTAATCGCAGTGGTTGTCAGACAGGCTGGGAAAATTGAATGGGCTTACATCACGAAGTCTTTTTGCCAGATAGTTCACTGAGATCCAGGCGTAGCGACCCTCCCAATCGCCGCTTATGATCCGAATGTCCGAAAACACACTTTGGACGGTGACTCCAATTTTGGATAGTGCGTAGCGCAACTCTTCAAGAAGGTCATCGGCATACATTGGCTGCCGGACACTGTAAAAGTACAAATAAAAAAACAAGCATATTCTTCGGAGAAAACGGTTTCGCGCAAAATTCGGGCCATTCATAAGTGAAAGAAATCGTTTGAATTTGAAGCAAGACAGAATATCAGAATTTATTCGCGCGAATAAATTTCGAGAGCACTTTTCAGCTGCTTCCGC